CAGTCTCTGTACTGAACATGATGACGTCCCATATGGAATGTCCCTTTGGCCAGTTGGGGTCAGCTGTCCTGGCTGTGCCCCCTCCCAGCTTCTTGTGCACCTCCAGCCTGCTCAGTCGGTAGAGCACGGGAAGCTGAAAAGACCTTGGCTAGTTTAAGCACTGCTCAGCAACAACTAAAACATCCATGTGTTGTCAACATCGTTCTCATCCTAAATTGAAAACACAACACTGTACCAGCTACTAGGAAGAAAATTAACTCTATCCCCGCCGAAACCAGGACAAGAAGGTGGATGAAGAATCACTACACTTCATTTGCAGTACAGAAGTAGGTGGTACTGAATAAAATTATGAGGGAAGAAGTTTTAAAACAAACAAGGAATTCCTAATCTAAGGGGGAAAAATCCAGTAAGGACTTTTAAACACAAAGATGCTTAAATCTAAAAGTCCTGAGCTGCAAATTCATGAAAGCCAGGAGAATATATAAGGAAGTGCAATTGTATGGTTGTGGTTAATACTCACTTTACACACACAGAGTAACTGTATAGAAACATCCACTTCTGGCCACGGACAGATACAGAATGCTGGATCAGATGAACCTTAGGTCTGATCATCACAGTTGACTATAAAGCATGTATTGACTTAATGATATACGTTGACTATTGAGGAGCTCCAAAAATAAGCAAGTCCAGAAAGGATTAGATAAATTTACAGGGAAAAGGTCAGCTGGCACCTATTAAACATAGCAGTGTGGATGCAGCCAGCAGTCCCCCAACAGGTGGTTATAGGAAGATATATCTAGGAAGGAGGACTCCGTGTGGGCCACAATTTTTGTTTTCTTTCCCCCGGCATCTGTTCTGTTGGAGACAGGACATCGGACTACGTGGTATTTGGCCAGCCCAAAAAGGCAATTCTGTTCCTGTGCTCCATGCTGCCATTAATGGAAGAACAGCCAGGTCCATCTTTGTAGATGGGAGGAGGTGGCTTAGGCCATTTGGAGGCAGAGAAAGAGTGTGTTTTGCTGACTTTAGTAATCTCCTCTCCAAATGTTGCCTGCCTGGGCAGAGTTTCCACACATACCTATGCAGCAGGTTTTCTGACGCCGAGAGCAAGTTCCAAACGCGGCAAACGGCTCTGGGCAGGATTTTGAATGGAAGCAGAAACCGTGGTATCCAACACAACGTAAGGTGTCTCTGGGCAAGCTGAGACCTACAGGAAGAATGGGATTCCCAGCCGTGCTGCAGGATCAGTCCATTTCTCATGGTCTTCGTCCTGCTGAAACCCCACGGACCCCAATTAGGGGTCTGATACAAATACCCCCAAAGCCCAAGGCAGCTTTTCAAAAAGTTTTGGGACCTCATAGGACTCCAAGGAAGACCTTTGTACAACTGGAGAAAAATGTAGCTGTTGATGGCAACTGTCTGAGCATATCCCGGTCATGCATGTTGTAGTGGGTAGGGACAGCCCAGCCTTTGGATGCTTCTAAGCTCCTAGGACTGCAATGCGGCAGGCTGGTCACGCAAGGGACAGCATGGTGCTCGTATGCCCTGAGATGTACCTATGACTTAAAAAAAATCAAAAGCTGGGATCTGGCCCAATTAACAGGGACAAGAGGTTTGCCCAGTTCCTTCCTTCTCTGAAAGACTTACTCCAAGGTGGGGAGTTTCATTAAGCATGAAGAAAAGCTAGGCGAAAAGCACAATCAGTAAATGAGTCAGTGCAGCAGAAGGGCTGAGGAAAGTGAACCAGCATATTCAGAGAGCTTAAGTAAACTTCACTGGTGTAGTTCAACTTGAGTAATACAAGGGAACATCTCTGCCACTCTTCTACCCTACACAAAGGAGACAATTTATGACCCTGGGGTAAGAAGAGGCAGAAGATTTCCATGGTACCGTCTTCCAATAGTGCCACAAAGTGGCATAAAGAGACTTCAAAGAGTCATAAAGAGCCAACACCCAGTAGTGGCTTCTGTGGGGAGGTTCTGGTTTGACATCTGGTCACCATAGGTTCATTTTTCATTTTTGCTTCTAGATTGAGAAATAGGGAACGGCTCTAATGAAAGGAGCTGAAGAGCACCAAGGAGTACAGTCTGCACCACTGCACAAGCTAGTTGTACCCCCTACACAGGCAGACCCCAGCGTGGGTCTTGCCCCTTACCTGGAACAGCCTGGAGGAGGAAGAGGAGAAGAGCCGTGAGGCAGGAGAAGAGCTTCATGGTGGAAGGTCTCAGCTGCTGCGTGGAGACAGGGCCACAATGCCAGAACCTTTGAGCAGGGGGAGACAGGGCCACAATGCCAGAACCTTTGAGCAGGGGAGGAGGGAGCACTCGTGCATTTATAGGGCTGTGGGAACAGACCTGGCTGTTCGGGGGACCTTGGCAGTGGTGAGTGTGGAAGGCAATGAGTACAGCTTGACCGCTGCACACCGCTGAACCTGAACAATGTCAGAGGGTCACAAAAACAGGCAGAGAGGTAACTCCACCTCCCTACCCGGCCATTGAGAAGGCTGCTTCTCTATACCGACCCACCCGGAGAGCTTCATTACTTGTTACCTTCAAAGATCAAGGTGGTTGGTAATGGACCACCCAGAGGAAATTAGCCATCATTTTGGTGGGAGAGAAGGCACCTAGGAGTACCAGAAGACTGTTGATGATGGTGAGTATAGCAGAAGGTCCAAGGTTCTGCTGCACTGTTTGCAGTCTCCGTTCATCAATGCAAATAAATGTTTTTTTGCATCATTTCCCTAACTGAAAAATAAAATTTGAACCAACTGAACAACCAATTTTCTTTCTGAAAATATTAGTTGGTTGATATTATGGACTCAATTCAGTTGCCCAAATATATAGGCTTAACTCATGTGGGCTGGTCTAGGGTATCCAAAGAATCTCATGGGACTATCTGGTAAGACACAGGACCTCTGGGACAATCTGCATACGACTAGAGGGGCAAATGGATGGCCATGTGTACGGCCTAACTTATTTAAAATGGCACTGGACACTCACATGTGGTCAACTGACTAAAGCTTAATGGCGGTGGTCAGTGCTACACTCAGATACTGAGATGTAAGCATCTACAATGGATGTGGCTGCATGGGAATGAGATGTTTAATTAGTGGGTCTAGGACTCACGTCACATGTTTGGCTGTAGTAGGACCTTAGGAGCCAACACACATGCAGAAACCTGCACTGTAGATACTTGTACTTAGCTGGCCAAGTCCAGAGCTAAGAGCACTGATTGTCATGAAAGATGCCTCAGGGATCCCATCTGGCCTCCAGCTGCTGCTCCATGATGGTACAGATCCTTCATAGCTCCTGCATGATATCGGCCAGCCCCAGGCAGACATAGACATTTCTAATGTCACAGGGCCTCTCAAATGGCTGTAGTCTCTATGTGTGGGCAACTGGGTCAATTCCTACATGTTCTTCTCAATTGTGAAATTCTGGTTGTGGTTGTTTTTTAAAAAAAAAAAAAAAAAAAAAAAAAAAGAGAGGGGTTAAGCTAAGAGCACCGATTGTCATGAAAGATGCCTCAGCGATCCCATCTGGCCTCCAGCTGCTGCTCCATGATGGTACAGATCCTTCATAGCTCCTGCATGATATCGGCCAGCCCCAGGCAGACATAGACATTTCTAATGTCACAGGGCCTCTCAAATGGCTGTAGTCTCTATGTGTGGGCAACTGGGTCAATTCCTACATGTTCTTCTCAATTGTGAAATTCTGGTTGTGGTTGTTTTGCAAAAAAAAAAAAAAAAAGAAAAAAAGAGAAGGTTATAAAATCGTTTGTAAGGTCCTGCTTTGTGATGCAATGATCAAAAGGTTTGATACAAAATAAAGCACTTTTGGTAACAAGGAATCCGGTCCCAAAACACCACTGTGTCAGCTAGACCACTCCCTGTGTAAGCCACGAGACCCGGGGTACTGTCCCTACTCCAGTAGATGTATGATTTTTTTATACCACATACCACAGGGTCAAGAAGGTAAAATGAACATTTTTCTTTAGTACTTGGTAGTCTGGAAAGGATCACTAATGGATTTAAGGACCCCAGGGAAAAACAGAACTGGAGCTAGGTCTCACATATCCTAGCTACAGAGCTGTCAGACGAAAAAAATTAGTAACATCCTCTTATCCAGCAGCGTTGTATGAAACAGCCCTGAAAAGTCTTTCTTCTGTATGAATTGTTGCAGTGAGCGCAAGCTGCATCTACAACTTGCCTTGGTGTAACAAAATCCACATTTATTTGTAAAGAGCAAGCCTAGCCCTAATTTTCATGCTTGGATATCTAGTTTCAGGTATCTAAATGTGTACGGATTTAGATACCCAACTGGTTTAGGTTTTTTCCCTTTTGAGAGACTTACCTGAGAAACTACTTTGAAACTTCTGGTAAGGTGAAATGTAGAAGACATTATTTCCAAACTCTTCATCTTATACACTAATCAAAATTATTAAATCATCCACATCATTGTCTTCAGACAAACTGGGAATATATCATGAATGACACGTATGTACTTTTTTCTCAGTTGTTATGACACATATGAGTTACAGCAGAAGCTTAATAAAATATTAGTTAACAAAATAAAATATAACCTTAATAAAATATGAATTCTTCTCCTTTGTGCGAGATACAGAAATCTGGCACATTGCCAGAACAACATGTCTTAATTTGTTATATCTATAGTGGGTAAAATTGGAATTTTTCCCCTTAAACCAAGTTATTGCACCTAGCAGTGTGAGAAGTAACTCCAGAAGGAAAACAGGGAAGGCATATATTCAACATCAAAAATAGAAGAAAAATCCTTTTATTGAAGAATCATGAATGAGCCGAAGTTAAAGAGCAGAGATATCTTTGAAGCTAAGAACACGCCTCCTTTTCCTTTTCTTTATTCTTTGGGAAGGCAGAATTGAAATTATCAGATGTGGTCGTAAGTTAACTGATGAATTACAGAATATACATATATATATATATTGCTATATATGTAGCAATATATAGGTATGCCCAGAATATTCCTGGGCATTTCTTACAGCATCTGTATTCGTTATAGAAGCAGCTTCCAATCAGATACTCATTTACGCAGCAGTAAGGTCTGCAGCTGCTTCTTAGACCGCAACAAAAAGTGTCCAAGACGCCCCAAGTCCTGCTGCCTGCACGTAGAAAACAATTTTGTGCTCTGATGAGAAAGGATAGGCACAAACTGTTATCAGATCAATGGGTTTGTGGTTAGGTTGCCTGCGAGTGATCTACAGCCTGTGTTGCATGCATGGCTGAACTTCTGAGTGACGCATCAAGCTGGAGAACAGAAATGACTTTGATTTGGACTGAATTGAACTGGGACTTCTCCAAGTTATTGCTATGAAATGGCCATTGGAAAAAAAAAAAAAACCAACATTATTTCACTTAACGTGAAAATTTCTGTTCATACTGAAATGAAACTTTCTGCGCTGTGCAGGTGTAGGACACAAAGGAAATAAGAGCTGGGTCTTCAGAAACCCTTCCCCCCCCATGAAGTGGTGCTGCCTTAGTTTTATCCAGGCTTTTAAGCAGCAGAAAGAACCAAACTCCAGCCTGTCTTATCATAGAATCATAGAATCATTGAGGTTGGAAAAGACCTCTAAGATCATCGAGTCCAACCGTCGACCCAACACCACCACCCACTAAACCATGTCCCTAAGCGCCTCATCTACTCGTCTTTTAAATACCTCCAGGGATGGGGACTCCACCACTTCCCTGGGCAGCCTGGTCCAATGTTTAACCACTCTTTCAGTAAAGAC